TTTAGGCTTTAGGGTTTAGGAAAATTGATTGTTTGGGGGGAGCCTGAAGAAGTCTTGGGAAGGGACACATGAGGGCTCCGGATCATGATTGAATCCTGTATTCTCCTCAGGGTCTTAGGGTTTAGTTGTCCCATGTGTTCCCAAGTTCGCTGAGACCTGAAAGGCGGGTGTCCCAGCTAAGAAGGTAGAAAGTGGCAGCTTGCGTTCATAGACGCGAGCTTGTAATGTAGTCGCGTACCATGCCAAGTCAAACAAGCAAATATACCTTGCCACCCAAATCGTGAAGAAGTTTCAGCCTTGTGGCCACTGAATGGTGTCTAGATCATTGTGTGAGCCTCGTGACCTGCTGCTATCAAAAGCTCCATCGCGCAGACTGAAGTTGAGTGAGTACTCAGAAGACGTCTTAGCAGATCAAAATCAAGTCCCCAGCTTGCTTTTCGGTAAACAGGCTTGTTCACTTGTTGTCTTGGCCTGTTCACTTGCACGTAGTGGTCTGTGCGTTGAGGCTTCGTGAAGAGCGAGAGCGTGCAGAGCGTGAGGTGAAAGCACAGGCGAGACGGGTTGCAAGCAGTTTGTTCTTTTCTGGTGCAAGGCGGAGAATGGCAACCTGGGTCTAGCTATGCTTGCGACACCTACCACTCAAAACCGCGGTAGTGCAGAAGTACAGCGATGTCGCCTCTGCTTGGGGAACCTCTGAAGGGTTCATGCAGGCTTTGCAACCCTCCTCAAAGTATGAGAGCCTAATTAAGGACACCCTGAGGCAGCATGAGCTTGGGGTTGGCGCGCCAAGCGGGAATGGATTGTAAATTGCAAGGAGCTGTTGGGAAGGTGGTTCTGGACAGTTACTAAATACGTACAATGAAGCATTCGATATTTGAAAAAAACGGCAACTTTATTCCCTGTGTTGTTACAAAGCCCAAGGCGACCTGTTTTGTCAGGTGGAGAAGAAGCGGAAAGCCGAGGAGGCCAGCCGCAGACTGTCTGAACTCAGGCGCTTCAGGATCGGGGTGAAATGGAGAAATGACCCCTCCTAAGTCGGATCCTTGTATTCCTAGCCGTGTGACTTCTTCTGTAGAATTCCTAATCAGGATGCTAGAAATCCTAGATCCCCAACATACTCAGCAATTTCCAACGTAAAGAAACGCCCATGTGCCGCAGTGGATGAGAAGGCCGAGCGCTTGGAGCGGGAATGGCTACAGCGTCAGCGAGAGGCAATTGCAAGCGGATTGCAGGCTTAGAGATTTTAAGGTGAGCTTTTAGGCTTTTAGGTTTTGAGATTTGAGGGCTTTGGATCTCTGATGGGTACAGCTTTTTAGGGCCGCTCAAGGTTCATGGTACATGGTACTTTCCCAAGATAGGCGGACCCCACTTTAGAGCCCCAAATACTAGAATCCTTAGTTATTGTGGGATTATGGGGACCCAAAATGATACTCTAATTTGGGAAACCCCCATATGGTTTAGCCTTAGCGTTTGGAGTTTCTCTGTCCTTCATCAGCTCGGGACACTACCCGTTCAATCATTCGCAAGCTGGGCTTGGGAAAAAGCTTGATTTTGGTTATATAAGGATATATAGCGCCAGATGGGGATGTATATAGGGTTATCGTCCCCCTTAAGTAGATAGAATATAGCTTTGGGTTTATGATAATAAGATCCCCATATACCCTAAATTCCATCTACTTAAGGAGGACGGAATACAGGGCTAATATTCTTGAGCGCTTGTCTTTAGATGTTCTAGGTTTCCTGGATTTCTTGGGTCCTTTGGCCCCAAAAAGGCATTCAAGGGCCCATACTTCAAACCTTAGGAAATTTAGTGTTGCGCCCTAAACCCTAAAATCCCTACACCCTAAACCCTAAAGCGGGGGAGTGGGGCTTCACAACCCCATCGGCCTGCTCCAGGAACGAGAGTTCGAGGAAGCTACACGCCGGAGTGAACAGGCCAAAAGTCATATTATTCGGGGAAGCAGCACTTGTTTAAATTGCCTTGGGCTGCAGTGACTCGGATAGGTCAAGTTTCGCTTGGAAATGAACAATTGCACGATTGATAGACAGCTGTGCACATCTTTGGGCTGCACAATAAGTCTGCATGCTGCAGGACGGGCAAGCTAAGTGACAATGTATTGCAGGCGTAGACCCGCTTCAGGCAAGACATCGTTTCGGGACTTGCAGGGACGTTGTGACCTTTACGACACATGAGTCGTCATAACGGACATGCCAGCGATCCCCGGCAGGCATTTGCCTATCGGCTCCTTTAGTTGACTCACAGGCCCACCCATTTTCGCCAGCTTTTGTCAGCCATGGCGTTGCAGCTTGGATGCAGGCTAATGCAAGCGTGGAAGTAGAAGGGATGACTTGTGTAGGAAAAGAAGATGTAGTTTGATCTAAGGAAGCACCTGCTGGCATGCCTTTCCCTGGTGGGCCTGGAGGCAAAGAAGGCCTTGGTGATCGTTGACACTCAGGACTGCTTCCTGGAGAATGGCAGCTTGCCAGTCGTCGCTTCGCAGATCATCCCGAAGCTGAACCAGATCCGCAACGAGAAGGATTGCCTTTTTGACCTGGTGGTGAAGACTCAGGATTACCACCCAGCTGGGCACATCTCTTTCGGGACGTCTCATGGTATGGCCCAAGACTCGCCCAATGCCCAGATGTCAAACTCCTGGCGTGGAGCCATGACAATGCAGTGCATCAAGAATGGTGGCAACGATGAGGCTTGCTGCCCACTCTACTACGTGAACAGCTCTGCCGTGACATGCAACCCTCCCTTGGAGTACTGCGCACCAGACGGGTTCTACAACAGCTCAACGAACCCCATGCTGATGAACAACCCAGCTTGCACTACCTGCAAGAATTCTCCGGACTCCTGCTTCAGCATGAACATGGAGCTTTGGTTGGACCACTGCTTGCAGAGCGGGGACTCCGCACTGGCTTCGAACTTGGTGAGCAAGACCACGGACGTCATCGTCCAGAAGGGCCAGATTCCGTACATCGAGATGTTCAGCGCGTTCATGGACAACACCAGGAACTACAAGAGCGAATTGGATGCCAAGTTGAAGGAGAACGGCATCACAGAAGTGTACGCCGCAGGCATTGCAACCACGCACTGCGTGCGTTGGACGGTTCAGGACGCAATCTTCCTGGGGTACAATGCAAGCATCATCATGGACGCCTCCGCTGGCATCTGGGGAACTCCCACAAGCTACGCCAATGAGAGCGAGGCGATTGCAGACTTCCAAAGGCAGGGCATCACCGTTTTGAACACAGCGGACCTCCTGAAGATGACCTGCGAAAGTGTCGCCCAGGACACCAGCAATGCTATGGCAAGCTCCATGAGTTTGCTTTCCCTCATGGGCCTTTCCAGCCTTTGGAGCTGAAGAATTGAATCGCACATCCCAGCTCAGTGCTGGGTGTTTCAATTAGAGTTTTCAGGCTTGTGCTCTGCGCCTAGGTTCAGGAGAAGGCGAAGCCTCTTGTGGACCCAGGCCCACGCAGTGGACAATTTGCCAGGCCGAAGCATACAGGGTCTCCCACAACGAGGCCGCGCCACGTCGGCTAGTGATGGCGAATGCTCCTGACGGCTCGCAGGGGGCAAAACGGTAGTGCGCATCATTGTTGGTGCAACTGCCTTGTGCTCCTTATGTTTTAGAGAGCAAAGCGGAAGAACCAGAACATGTTGGAAGGAACAAGCTGCTGCAATGGAGAAACTACGCCGGGAGAGAGAGGAGGCAGAGAAGGCGCAAGCTGCGCTGGACGAAACATGATCAGAAGGCTTCCTCTCTCTATAGTCGTGCATGCGAAGTAGTGAGCCACGCTCTATCTTTTCAGAGCAAGCCTGACGCACTTGTAAGTTTACGCGATCTGCCCAGCCACACGTGCCAACCCCTGGGGTCTTAGGAGTGAACCGACCGTGGAATTGCAAGAGCTGCGAAGGTTGAAGCGGAGAGGAGACGTTGCCGAGAGGAGGAAGAGTGCGAAGCTCAAGATCAGCGGAATGGTCACCAAGCTTGCTGGGAAATATCTGAAGAGGTGAAATTCACGTGCTTTCAGCAGCCCACGGCCATGAGCGGGCTGTTCCTCGAAATGCGATATTTTTGTTACCTTGCAAAGGCAGCCAGGCCTGCCCCAGCACTGCCCGGAAGGCAAGCAGAGATTCAGCGGCGTGCAGATGAGTTGAAGGAGCAACGGAAGAAAGAAGAGGACCACAGGGCTGCACTTGTACGGACAGCATGGTTGTTGTGCTCGGCCGCAGACGGGAGCCGTGTAATTGTGCTGTTGCAGCCCTGAGGTGGACTTCGTATCCAGTACCCTCTAAGGGGTAGCAGAAAGTTTGAGAGCTGAACTTCTTACAGCGCTTGCTCACAGGAGGAGCGGCGAAGAGAGGAGGAAGCCAGGAGAAGGCCCGTCAAGAACAGCGAAGTGCATGCCGTCTTCCATAGGGCCTGATGAATCGATGATCAAACAGCTGATACAGTAGGAGGCTCCTAGCTGACTGACTGACATTCCGATCTTGTGGCTTTAGACATTTAAATGTAGGATATGGGCTCTTGTTACTGGTGGATGTGATGAGGCCGAAGCCGCCATTGGTACAGCACAGAATTCTAGGGCTTAGGGTTTAGGGTCTAGGGTTTAGGGTCTAGGGTTTAGGGTCTAGGGTTTAGGGTTTAATGGTTTAAGGCAGCTCAGACCGTGTCCTTGGAACCTTACCCACTCGGCTGAGATGTTCAGATAGCCTCAGCTGTGCAGGGTGGTCTTGCCTGAAGTAGAATTTGTACAATATATACCCTATAATGGAAGCTACTATAATGGGTTATATAGAGATTATATACCCTATAATCCCTATATAACCCATTATAGTAGCTTCCATTTTCTTTTCCATTCTTCCTATAGAGCCCAAATATATAAGTAGTTTCCCTTTTCTTTAGACTCAAAACCGGGAACGCTGGAACTGTGCCTTGCAAGGCTGGAAGACGAAATGCGCCAGGCAGAAGAGGAGCCGTTTGTCTCATAAAATACTGGGGTGCTGTTAAGGAACTTAAATTAAGTTACCATAAAAGGTATATATATATATATAGTAAATAATAGGGTTTCCCCAATATAGTAACTTGATTTAAGTTCTGTAACAGCAACCCAGAATAGGTGACTTTAGAAACGTTACGGCGCTGTATGGCGAGCCATGAAGCACCTTTGACAGGGAGTCTCTATGGCCCTACAGCTTGCACCAGCTGAAAGCAAGCGCATTGTCAAAGCTGCGCTATCTGCCATGAGCCGATCCTGTGCCTGACTGTCAAACCTGTTGCTACGGGGGAGTGGAGATGAAAGATTTTTTCAGAAAGATTGCTTGCCTGCGTTGGGTTGCATGAGAGCTGGGCTTGGTTCAGGGCCAGGAGAGCAATTTTCACGTTTGTTCCCGGGAGAAAGGGCATGGACCGCTTCTCACCAGGCAACCTGCATAAATTCGTCTGAAAATCGGCGTTTTTATGGCCAGAGCTGTCGAGGAGGCTCTGCGCCTGGAGCAGAAGCAGCAGCGAGAGGCGGAGGAGCTGTTCAGGGGCTCTAGGACGATGATGTTGTCCTTCATGAGTTGTCTGGGTGGCTCGACTACTTTGGGAGTACTTCGTAGTACCTAGGGGGTGCAGAAGTGCAGAAGCCAGGCCGTTAAGCGGCGAAGGCCTGTCTCAAGGCTGACTTGTAGGGACGGGTGCGAAGATCATCTTGTTTGCTTGTGAAGGAGGACCATGATTTCTCTTGCACTCAAGTCACTGAAGAGGTCCCAGCTTGGGATTCTTAAAGGCGGTTGGATGTTAAGTAGTATTCGTGTTGGCCCAGTGCCTTGAGCTGCTTGTATTATGTGTGCTAGCAAGCGCACAGAAGGACTATGGGGATTTGCACATCGAACGTCGGTCGCAGCCGGGTGGCTCAACGAGCTCAGCTCCCGGAGCCTTCCCACAATAATGGAGAACCAAATGGAAAAGAAAATGGAAAATGAAATGGAAACTTGGTGAATATGGGTGTTTATTGTGTAGAATGCAACGTTTCAAAAGAGTTGATTGAATGTCTGCGTTTTTGACATGGAGCAGGCAGCGAGTTCTCAAGATTGTTCTCTGAACCTTGAGCCTCCTAACATTAGGCCGCATCATCCCACATGATGCCGCAGACGGATATCTTTGACACTATACTTCAACTCGACAGAGTCTCCCGACAGCCCCTGCATGATCTTCGACAGACCCCATGCTTCCAAGTTGTGGAACTTACCACCAGCTTACCACGGCCTGACCTCTGCAATGTCAAACGTTGGCGGGGTCTTGGCATTGGTCCGGCCGCGGCAGCCGCGCCGGGCGGAGGAATTCGAGGCTGCGGCATCAGATTCCCATGCAGGGAAGACACGCGTAGCTGTGACGTCATCCCACCGAAAATAGAATTAACACAAGTTTGGGAAGATGTTCCAGTGGTAGCCCGGGCTCTTCCCCGCAGGAGGTTCTCAAATTTGTGGAGCTGTTTCTCGGATCACGAGAAAGTTTTTCCAAGAAAGATGACCTCTTTGAAGGAGTCTGTAGACCACACGCCTCGAAAGTGCAGAACAGGACTGGCTTCAGCTTCTCTGGGCCCGGAAAGCAGGCGACAACCTTCCGAAGAAGGCTGAGTGGAGTAGTGAGGGTTGGTTGCTCCTTCACATATATAGCCCCGATGTAACCCTTGTAGAGCATATCTTCGTATTCGCTACGAAGCCCCATTATATACAGTTTCATGTGAGAAGAAGTGCCATTCGAAGCAGTGCCAAAACCAGAGTAAGTTGATCAAAGGCAGGCATATTTTCAGGGGGGAAGCATGGATCCGGGTATGGGACAGCTCAAAGCTGACACTCTTTCTTATCTTATCCGCTTCAAATTGCGCAACACGTGCACGCATCAGCATCTCCATGGCCATAGTAGGCAGCATCCCTGCTATTCCCTGCTAAAGTCAAGTACTGTCACCCTGAAACAGACAGAATCTGAGACTGCAACCTAGTTTTATAAGTTAAACCTCCCTAAAGGATCCAATTACGTATGTAGCAGGTACTGCGTACTCCTGCCCAAATTGATGGATTTCTGGATAGCTACTTTGGGCCTTTGGGGCGGCAGTACATGATTTTAAACTTAGGTTCTTGAACCCTTGCACTCATAGGGTTTCAAGGCGGGCCGCCAACAACAACCCCCAGAAAATGGGACATATAGGCACCATCAAGGCCATGTTAGAGAGTATGGGCTCATTTGGCCTGTATTTTGAATGTGGGGGACCCCCCCCCCCGGAACCCTATGATTTTGCACCTGGAGGCTGGGCTTTTGGCCAAGTTGGCCCAGCGGCTGCTTTCCACCTGGGCCTGCTGACTTGCGTGGAGTGGAAATTTGTTGGTTCTTAGTAGGGAATAAAGGAATATAATACCTGTTCCATATTTTCCCTTATTCCCTGCTAAGTGCCAGTAGAGACGTTCTCAAAAGGTTTTCAGGGTGTTCTGGGTTTAGCATTTTGGGTTTTGGGTTTTGGGTTCTTATTTGGGAAACTGCATGCGGCTTTACAGCGATCATGTGGGCATTGGTTATATAGGTTAATACAAAGGGGGATTATAGGGGTTATGAAGGGAGATATTAGAAGTTTTAGGCTATAGCTCATATGGGCGTGCTCAGTTTTTTTTGGAAAGTTGGCAGGGTCATGTGGAGATTAGACATGTGTTGTAGAGGAGCTTTGCCCGGGCAAGTTTGAGAGTAGGGATGATCTCGTTTTAGGGAGCATGTCGCTGCGCCTAGAACTTGTTTGTCCCTTTGTCCCTAATCACCTAATCCTAAGCGGTATAGCTTGGGTTATTCCCCCTTGCAGTAACTGTCCTTGCGTTATTAAGTAAGGGGCTATCATATCTCGTCTACATATTGCGGTAACTGTTACTGTATAAGGAGGAATGACCTCAACTTTTGCCTGAAAACCTAACCCCGAAAAGCATCGTTCGTAAGATCCCGCTGGGAGTTTGTGGCAGAGCCAAGTCCAATCAACTCCATGCTTGTGTGGTATCAACCCTATATAACCCCAATGTCTAATATAGTAGTTTCCATTTTCTTTTCCATTATCCCAATATAACCCCGATATAACCCCTAAAAGGGCTCATGTGCTTTTTTCGTGTCAAGCTCTTGGATCTGATCGAGTTGCTCTTTGACTCGCACGTGCTTGCCCAAAACTAGCCCTTTCGCACCTTCATGTTTGAAAAACATCCCGCAGTACCCAAGAATTTCTGAGGTGCCGTGCGTACTTTCGGTTCAGCCACGCTGCCAGACTCCTCAACATGCCCTGGCACTCGAGTGGGCCCAGGAGGCATCGGAGTCTGTCAAAAACTATTGTGCCCACAGAA